AAAACACACAGGGAAATAGTAAGGCAAGAGGAACAGTCATCCTTGATGACAAGGGACTGCTCTATGCCTCGGTGATATTTCTCGCCAGGGCACCACCAGCCTGGATCTCGTTGGGCGCAAACTTGATCCCGCTAGCCGAAGCCGCGATCTGCGACTTGGGCGCGTACGCCGACGTGGCGGTGCCGCTGCGGAGGACCTCGTCGCGGGTGACGCCGAACTTCTCGGGGGACAGGCCCATGGAGCGGAGGAAGTGCACCGTCTCGGTCCACTCCTGGTCCTTGCGCTTGGCGTCCCAGCCGAGTTCCTCGGCCATGACGTCGATCACGCGCGGCAGGGCGCGGAGAGCGGACTCAGCGTCAAGGAAAGCGAGGCGGGTGCGGCGGGAAATAAGGTCCGTTGCCGTGAGGGCGGCCTCGGCGCGGACGCCGTGGCGGATCTCGCCCTCGACGAAGGGGAAGTTGGGGATGATGCGCTGGCGGTCGGCGGGGGTGGTGGCGACGGACCAGGCGCGGTCGCCGTAGTTGTGGGCGAGGTGGTGGGCGACGTCGGCGTCAAGGGCGAAGTGGGTGATGAGGTGGCCGGGGAGGTGCTTTGAGAAGCCGTGGGCGCCGACGAGGGGAATCTTGGTGGTGATGCAGGCGCCGGTCGTGGTGAAGGGTGCGAGGCCTGCGCCGGAGATGTCGGGGAGGGAGACGGGCTTGGGGGCGAGGTTGAAGGTCTTGATGGCTTCGTCGACGGCGTCTTCGGCCATTTGGCGGTAGGTTGTCCACTTGCCGCCGGCGCAGGTGAGGAGGCCGGAGGAGGAGACGGTGACGAGGTGGGAGCGGACGAGGGATTCGGTGTTCTTTGCGTTGGGGTCCTTGACCAGGGGGCGGATTCCTTGCATGAGATGTTAGTTTCTTGGTCCTGACCTGAGAGCGATATCGGAGGGAGGGGGAGTGAACGAGAGGAAAACTTACCAGACCAGGCAGAGAGAACATCGGAACGGGAGAGAGCGGACTCGGGGGTAATCAGCTTGTTGACCTCCTTGAGAATGAACTTGATGTCGTCCTCGCGGGCAATGGGCTCGCGCTCGACGGGGGCAGCGTTATCCGTGGTTCCAGCCAGAGTGTATCCTTGCCAGGGCAGAACAAAAATGACACGACCGTCCGAGGTAGCAGCATCCAATAGACCGATTCCGTTGGGGCAGATGTCGCCAGGCAGCATAATGTGCGCACCAGAGGCAGGGGCGACGATGGGCTTGCGGTCCGGGTTGTCCATGCATTCGATTGCGTCGGCAAAGGGACCAGTAGCGTTGATGACGCCCTTTGCGCGGACGGTGAAGGGGGCGCTGCCGGGGTTCTTGACGTCGCGGACTTGCGCGCCCGTGATCTTGCCGGTGGAGGAGTTCTTTTCCAGAGAGGTGACTTCGACGTGGTTGAGGACGGTGGCGCCGTAGAAGGCGGCAGTGAGGGCGAGAGAGACGTTCATGCGGGAATCGTTGTGCTGGCCATCATAGTAGACAAGGGCGCCGACCATGTTATCCTTTCTGAGCTTGGGGAAGGCCTCCATGGCCTTCTTGGTGGAGACGTAGTAGGAGCTCTCGAGACCCTGGGAACCGGCGAGGAGATCGTAGGCCTTTGTGCCGGCCCAGAAGTAAGGAGTCTGCCACCACTTCTGGATGGGCAGGAGAATTGGCAGGGAAGAGGACAGGTGCGGGGCGACGTTGAGGAAGGTCTTGCGCTCGTGAAGGGCCTCCATGACGAGCTCGAGCTGGGAGTAGTCGAGGTTCCAGACGGCCTTTTCGAGGTAGCGGACACCGCCGTGAACGAGCTTGGTGCTCTTGGACGAGGTTCCAGCAGAGAAGTCGTCGCGCTCGACGAGGGCGACCTTGAGGCCGCGGGTGACGGCGTCGAGAGCGATGCCGGTTCCCGTGGCGCCGCCGCCGATGACAAGGAGGTCGTACTCTTGGGCATCGGAGTTGTGAGCGCGCAGGTCGGCCAGCTGTGAGGCGCGGTCCTTTGCCGCGGGGAATGAAGGCGGGACGATCTTGCCCTGGTCATCGCGCTTGAGCTCGACGAGGGCCTTGTCGAAGTTGTGAGCGCCGCGGCCACTGAGGAAGGTTGAGTAGGCGACGACACCACCAGTTGCCGCGGCGGCAGCGATGGCGACGGGCCTTCTCAGGCTTGAGAAACGAGACGCCATGCTGGCGGGTGTTTCTTGTGTGTGTATTTTCTTGTGATCTCTTCACTCGGTGAGGTTTAGACCGAGTCCGAGAAGGACGGGACGATGACGGTGGAAGGCGCGTCTGGTATAGGTAACCAGTCCGGGCGTGTAGGGTGTGGGATGCCCTTTTGGTGAATGCTTTCCCTCAATGGTGATGTGTTAGGAGGGGGAGGGGTTCACAGGTTGATGATCCTGGGAAGAATCAGGAAGGTGAAGGTAGGGGAAAAGAAGTAAGAATAAGAGAGGTAGGAAGAGGAAGAAAAGGCTCAAGGGCTTAAGAGGGACCGAAGGGGTTGAGGATTGTCGATCGGTAGATGACCCAAGTGAGTGGGTAGATTCCGGGTGGCAGAAGAGCAGGAAGCTGTGCTTGTCCGGGCTGGGCCGCCTCACCCGCGAAGTATGGACTGTTATTCGTGGAATGACACCCCGAGCTCGAGAAGGAATGGTCCCGTTTGGCGCGAGCAAAAATCTTCCGTTGGACTGACTGGGCAGGGCGGAAGGGCAGGGGATGTGGGTATCAGAGATGGGAGAGAGGGCGACCTGATGTGAGGAAAATAAAAAAACAATAACGAAACTTGAGCCCGGCAAAAAGAGGCTAAAAGTAGATCGGGGGTGGAGGGGGGTACGAAGATACCTTGTGATGACGGAGATCGGGGGATGGATGGACGGACGGGGGGTCAGACGGAGAGAGACATGCAGCTTTGGCCGGTAGCGATGGATGGAACACACGGACAAAGCGATGAGGATGCCAGCTCAGACACAGCTCTTGCTTGGTGTTCGCAAGGTATCGCTCGCCATTGCCAATTGGACCTTAACCCCCACGTGGTCGCAGGCGCGTCTGCGGTATGGCGGCATGGCTCATCTTGAGACTTTTGCGGATACCTTGTCTGTTCTGACCACTCTACCTGCGTTTCCTACCTTGTGCTACCTTACCTTGGCTATGCCACATCACTGCATGCTATCATCTATCGCAGCTTCATCAGCCATGTGGCTACACAGTAGGTACGTTGTGGTGAATGGTGGCAATGGCAGTGGTGAAGGGCAGTGGTGAAGGGCAAACGGTCTCCGGAAGCAGCAGCAGCAATGCACTCGAGTCGGGGTCTGACATCATGGGTACCGAGCTCACTCCGAGCTAGCAATTAGCAAGCAGCAACAGCACCCCAACACTGGCTGAGTGACTGAGCAGAGTCAGGACATGCAGCGAACCGGAGTGAGTGAGAGACGGGAAAAGACCCGCTTCTCGTTCGTCATGTCGGTAACGGCGCAGGATCCAGTATGGAGAAATGAATGGGGAAAAGGCACGCAAATCTGGAGGTGGGAAAGAGACGTCGGTGCCATCCCATCCGTATGCGTAGATGGATCCGTAATTGTATGGTGTTTCCAGTCAGAGCCTCAAATATGCCATCAGGGGTCTGTCTGCACCTCGGTGTTGAGTGGCCGAGACGGTGACATGTTTTCGGCATTCTCTCGGTGCTGATCATACATGGAGTAGTGCGCCCCCTGTCTCGGTGGTCTCGGTTGATATCGCCGACCACTGAAGAAGAATTGGAGAAGGTGCCGCCCAAGTTCCCACAGAAAGGAAGGAAGGGTCCCGCTAAGAACTGGAAAGTGCAGGTGGGGTCACAGATTTGGAGACCTTCCGTCAGCTGGAAGGAAGGCTCCACTGGACCTTGAGGTTCGCAATGATCGGCGGAATCCTCCGGCCGAAGAAGTACGTACTCTTCCACTTTAGCCCCTGCTTCCAGCCCTGACCCTCTTTTCCCGTGCCACACGTGCCTTCTCCTCTTTTCGGTTTCCCACCACCACCCCCAATCTCCACTTTGGCAGTGCCAGACGGCGACACTGCGGCCTCGACTCTCGCTCGTCCTCGGTGTTGCATTCCCGTCACCACATCCACACCGCAGACCTGGACCACCACCACCGTCCAATACTACTGGGCAGGACTCCGTAGTCCAATCCAATCACGCTCACTGCAGAATCAGCAGCAAGGCACAGTCACTCGCCTGCTGGATCTCGAGACACGCATTGCAGATGCCCTCCCTCACCCAGTCACTCAGTCACCCCAGTATTAACAATCACCACTGCCAAACGGCGACTACACGGCGACCACCAATCGGCCCGGCGAATGGCCCGCGACAGATGTCTCCTCGTCGACCCTCCCCAACGTCTCCATCAGTGTCCATCGTGGGATGTTTGCCCACACAGCGCCACGCCATACTGCCGCTAACTACCCTTATCCTTTGCAATCCTCACATGTCGGCCCTTATACAGGGGCCTGATTACTATGGATCTCGCCTCACTTCTCAACTTGAGGCCCGATTGTGAGGCTTGCCCAACAGCCCAAGGGGCATCAACCAGCCAAACAATTTCTTCCAGGGCGGATTTCTGGTTCATCTTAAGAACCAGATGCCGTCCTCTTCTATCCGTCCATAGATAGTACTGCGGACCGTTTTTGGTTCCCGGCCACGGGAGGCTGCATCACACAGACGCCGCGCCATTTTGGTGACCGAATTATCGGGATTCACAGCCAACAAACGCCGTACAGTCGAACCTGTCCTCGTTCCCTATTTTACCTACATCTCATCGACTAGCCCACCCACCATGGCATCGCTTACACCCGACACGATATACTGCCACCACTCGCCAAGCTATCCAAGTCAGCAAAACCTGCCTCCAGTCTGCCGACTCTTCCCTCCAGACCCAGCAATTTCCGCAACTCTTTACCATCATCGATCACGCGCAAAACCCCTACGCAGTGTAGCGGCCGACGTCCGAGCTTGACTGACAAGTCACTTTACCTCTGCCATGTACCTCGACCTACTCTTGTTTGGGTACTTGGGGAGTGTCCGGACACGAACCCCTCCTGGGATACGACTGCGGTAGGGACACCGTTGTCGCACCCGCACCGCACCCGCACGCCGCAGGGCACACGCCCACCGTCCACTCCTCCGTGGCCGCTACCAAGTTTCTTCGCTGCACATCCCTCGGCCGTCACGGCCACGCCGCAGTGCCACGCCGAACATTCCGCGCCGCCCCCTGCAACTCGCGTGCGAAAAAGTGGGAGGAAGCAAGTTGAGGTGGTACACGGGTTGAAATGCTGCCAATCCACAACCACTTCGCAACTCGGCTCCCCTACCCACGCAAACGGTCACGATACAGTCAGTTTTCTTGCTGCGCTGCCAGATGATGTGATGGGCCAGCTTTGGTCGCCAACCTGTCCAAGTGCTGCGTATCAGGTCCCTGTCTACGACAGCCATACAACCCAGCTCGAAATAGCCCTTCACCCCCCCCCCCAGTTGACTTACACCCAAACGCAGGTCAACCCATCACCATGTCCTCGTTTGATGACCTTGATTTGCGTCTAGATTTTGAAACTCGCAGGTTGCAGCTGCGCCTCACGGCACGTTCGCAGCCAGAGTACCAATCTTAGCACTACGACAAGTATCGCACCCAGAGTTCGTCGTCTCGCGCTACCGAACCCTCTAGGCAATCTGAGTAAGATGGACCAGGTCCCAGGGTGCAACTCGACAGCGACGTTTCCTGCACGTCCACTAGCTCTTGGCTGTTTCTACCCCGCGCTTCCAGACGAAGCACCAGCCAGACACAACCTTATCTCACGACGGGCAACGTTCGCCGGGCCACTGAAAAAGGGCCATCGATCGGAGACAGCTGTATTACGAGTCAGCTTCGCTCAGAGTTTGAAGCCATCGGCCTCTCATCGATGGGAGCACGATCTCCAAGTTACTATACGCAACGGGAGCAATACGGGCCATCGTCAGACACACTTACACGCAACGTCCGTTGCGCACTGCCCCGCCTCGCATCGCGACTTTGCTACAGCTCTGCAAACGGGAAACTCGTGCCGGCGATTGGACATTCAAGCCATCCAGACAAGACAGTCATCCGAGTTCCTCGCCATGCGGCCAATGCTTGACATCACTTCCCGTCGCCACCCCGTCCAATCCGCGCCCTCTCCCGCCTCGACGTGGATGGTAGTTCAGGCGACAACAGACCACTCTCCCCAACTTTGCCCATCTTCAACGTAAGCTAAGCGCACAGTTCTTGCGAATCGCTAGTTGCCACAAGAAACTTGAACAACACACAATGGGCCATCCGAAGTCCTCATAATGCACCCTCTTGGTGGCTGAAAGAGGATTCCAAGGCATTGGCGAGCTGGAAGCATGGGCAACGTGATAGCTAAGCTTGCACAGTAGGTTGCTGACTACCATCCCTCTGCTGGTCTCCCGTCTCCTGGCCAGGAAGGTGAGTAACAGAGGTCAAGAGTCGGCTACAGACGGAGCGGGTGCAAGATGCCCATGGGGACCACCCATCTCCCCAAGCTGGGGTCGAGATGGACCATGACTGGGGCTCCAGTCGGTCTCGATACTGCAATTGCTACCTGAGTCCACGAGACTATTGGATTCCAGACATTCCAAAAGAGAATGTGCAACCGCGGACCCAGACATTCGGGGTCGCTGTCAGGGTCAATCTCTACCTTTGAGGCCTCTGAGAGGTCAGAGGCGGGGCTACATCCACGATTCACCACACCAAAACCCCAGTCTCCCCAACAAGATGCAAGCCCACGCCATCATGGATTACATGCAAAGTGCGAGCATTTTGTTGGTCTGGATTCTTTTGGACTGGTGGTGGTTCAGCTTTGCTGCACTGGAGATTCGGAAGCGATTCCAGTTCCCAGCGGCGTGGGCAGGTCCCTTCCCGCTAGCCAAGTTGGCGGCGTTAGGCCCCCGTAATTTGGGCCCATGTCTCTGAGCAAAAACCCCCGACTTGACGGAAGAATTGTTCACCTGGCCCGCTCTCGGGGCAATCGTGCCAATCTTCCAGCGAAGGTGGCTTTTTCTCTCGTCTTCAAGGGTCTCCTTCACGAACATACTAATTGCTGGCCATGGGCGCACATCGTAGTTGAGAAAGAGGATTATCTTTGCCTCTTGATGGCACTCTTTTCTCTTGTTCATCGCGTAGTCACCACGGGGAAACATTCTTTGAACTCTGAAAATGACTTTGTGATTTGTAGACAAGACACCGCTAATCCAACCCACGCCAATACCCAAGCAGCAGCACCTCAGCACCTAACAGGACAACAAGCAAGGCAAAAAAACAAGAAACAGGAACGACGGAATACAGCTGCAAACAAGCTCATGATAAACGATTTTCTCGCCCGTGTTCGCTTTTTTGGGGTGTTTGGACCGTAAGACAGACCCATCCTTTTTGTGTTCTTTTTGTTTTTCCCTTTCTGTTTTTCCTCAACTTGAGAAACGCATAACTGCGTTGGATCAAGTCGAGATGTTGTCTCGTTGAAGGCAGGAGGGTGACCTTCGAGTCGATCGCTCGCCCGTCTCAGTCTCTCCATCTCTCTCTCTCTCTTCTCTCGTTATCCGAAACCCGTGGTATCATTGTCTGCCAGTTTCTTTGCCTTTCTCACTCTCGCACACTCATAAGAGATCGTCGTGGAGGTCGTCGTCGTTCTCATGAAGATGGACCGAATCCTCACGATAAGATCCCGGTGTCAATCTCATCATCACTCATCAAGATGAAAACCAACATTTCTGTCTCTCACTTTCTCATCATCAAAAACGCACAAATCGGACACTACGTGAAGCGAGGACAATGTCTACACCTTCTCCAAGCGGTTCTTGTAGGTGTTGGACCAGACGTCCCGGCGCGGCCGGAAGAGTCGGGTGAGGCCAAAGTAGGGCGTGTTGATGGGGCTCTCGCCGGTGAAGATGAAGACGTCGTACAAGAAGCCCCCAAAGAGGGTGCCGAAGAAGGGGGCGACCATGGGGATCTGCGGAGATGGAATGTTAGTCACGAGACTTCATAACAGGATGTGAGGTGAGAGATTCGCCACTCGGAAGGACGACGTCGGCCGAGGGCCACAAGACTAGCGCACACAACGACGACGATGACGAAAAACCCCAAGCCCCATCAGAAGATAGGGGGGAGACCGAGGCAGGCAGGAAAGGAATTTTCTTGCTGCTTACCCAGAAATAGTATCCACCGGCGGACCACACTTCAGACCCGTACCCGAGAATGTACGAAACCAGGCGGGGACCAAAGTCACGAGCCAGGTTGATGGCGTAGCCAGTCTCCCAACCGAAGCAAGCACCGATGCCGAAAATGAGGAAGAAGAGGGCCAAGGGCATAAAGGGGCCCGCAGCTCCGTTGGTGGGATCGGCGAGGGCGAAAATGGAGAACATGAGGATGGTAGAGGCGACGATTTCCGAAAAGAACATGCCTGTCCGCGTCATGAAGGCGGCTGGGTACGTGCAAAAGATGCCGGCGGTCGAGTTGACGCCGCCGACGGTGCGGATGCCCGGGCCGCCCTCAAAGGCGTCGATGGCACTGATGTAGTTTCCGTACACGATGAAGGCGCCGGCCATGGCGCCCAGGAGCTGGCCCATGAAGTAGACAGGGAACTTGCGCCACGGGTGGCCGCGGTACACGCAGTTGGCGAGTGTCACTGCCGGGTTGAGATGACCACCGGATTTCTTGCCCACGTAGACACCGAGCATAACTGCCAATCTATGAAGCAATGAGTTAGTTGATTCATTCTCATCTTTTCTCTCGTTTCTGTGCTCGACTTCCGCCGAGACTCTCGTTTCATTCAAGATTGCGCAAGCCGAAAAAGCCACGCACTCGTGAAGTGAAGTCGGAACACTGGGAAGGATCGAAACTTACCCCCAACCCCAAGAGATACTCTGGTAATCACCCTTGGTGCTGTTGCTAAGAACGACCTGGGCAACGACACCGTCGCCAAAGAGGATCATAATCATGGTTCCAAAGAACTCGGAGAAACCCTCCTGGCAGTTCTCACGGATACGCGACCACCACAGCTGCTCCTCCTCATGGTGAGGAGGGAGCATGCTGCCAACGGCGTGCTCCTCGTGGGTCTCTTCGCCTCCCATGTCGTGTTTATAAGTTGGAATATGCTGCTTGCCGACGGACGACGACTCTGACACCGATTCCGCTGTATGGACAGTGATGACCATTAGAACCTCGATACGATAACGTTTACGATTTCTCTCGAAGGGACGAAGGGGCTCGAGGGTGGTGAGATGGATGGATGGTTGAGGAGTGAGAAGGACTTTGAGAAGGAGAGGAGATGGAGAAGGAGAGAAGATAAGAAACGCGGGGACGGTGAGATGAAGATGAGATGAAGAGATGGACGAAGGTCTGGCCAAGGTATCATCCCACGTCCATCCCATGGGGAAGCAGCATCTTCTTATGGTCCCCACGGGCTCGTGGTGTTCCCACGGGGCTGGACACCGTTGCAACCAATCCACCGGGTTTGGCAGTCATGCTTTGGGGAAAAGAGGAGAGAGGGATGGTTGGATGGACACATTGAGATGGGGCGGGGTGTTGATACTGGGGGAGTGAGGAGTGGGCAGTGGAAGTGGGAGGGGGTTTAGGTCTAGGGGGGCGTATACGGTATCGCCAAACGGAAATCATGGACGCTTACCCATCTTTGGTCACTTTGCAGATAAGTTGTATGCTTGATTTGACTCTTCTTCTTTTTTTTTTTTCCTTCGGTCTCCCTTCAGCGGGTTAGGGGTGTTGCGAATGTGGATCTGTTGTACCGAGATCACTGATCAAGTAGACTGATTTTCTTCCGGGATCCCACGACGCTTAGGATCACCACGACCTGCGCGCGGCGGTGACTGATACGAGATTGGTTCGAAATCCTTGAAATGGCTTCCACAATTCCGGATATCTGGGATCACCGACAGTTCGGGTCCTTGGATGAACAACCTCGGTGATACGAAAAGGAAAAAAACGAAGAGCAAAAGTTCGACAACTGTTCCTAAACGGGATTCGTGCGTTACGGGTCTCGCGGAGAGATGGAGATTGGCACGCGGGATGAGGATACCGAGGGGACTTGACGATGGACGACGCTATGGGATGGGTTGGTCAAGCGGAGGAGTGAGAAAAAATCGAACGATGTGGGCGGGTGAGATGAAAGTCGCTCAGTTTGTGCGTGTGTCCAGGTCGGTCAAGTGTGTGTATGTGAGAGGGAGAAAAAAAAAGAGAGAGAAGGAAGATGGCACGAAGGTGGGACAAGGGGATATGATGCAGTTCGGTGGCTCACACCGAAGTTGAAGCGATTTGGCGGCCGAGATGGACGAGACGTTGTCGCCGGACGGCGGCCGAGGCTTTGATGAAGAGGAATTCTGGACCTATGCTGGCTTTGGTGTACTTGGGTGGTGCTTCTCACTCCCGTCTTTCGTCTTGGCCTTGTCCACCCCGCTCATTAAGGAGGGACCCCCTTCTCCGGGTTTGCGCCAAGGCAGATGTGGTGTGCGCGCCGAACGGATCAGGAAGAGGATGTACGGATACTATCTGCGGCTTCGTGGGTAAGGAGACAGGACGCACAAGGTTGCGCAATGTAGAGGTACGGAAACGACGAAGCTTCTCCACTCGCGCCACTAATAGGCTTCACTTCCCGGCAAGGAGAATGTGTGTGTGAGAGAAATGCGCGCCAGGGCCCAGGAGAAGGACTAATGCCCTTTGCAACCTCGCATGGGATGAAATATGTGGTTCCTCAGAGGTAAGCTTCTGGGGCAGGTTCCCACGTGTGGAGAGGGGCAACGGATACCAATGGTGACTGTACGGAGTACAGATACGCTGTGAGAGAGGGCGGAGTTGTTGTACAAGTTGCTCTACGAGTGAAGAGGCGCGCGTGAGGTTGAAGGATGTGGGATTGAGTACGTAGTAAGAGGCACGAGGGTAAAAAAGAAGAGGGGACTTCTTTCTTTGGCCTGTTGCAAGGAGGCTGGAGTGATCGCGTGGTGGACTGGACGGGTGGACTTGAGGTAAGTTTTCGGTGCGTCTTCCGAACCAAGGACCCAGTTTGAATGAATCCTTCCTAATCGTCGTCAAAAGTATAGAGACGGGTGTGACGGGGAAAGCGAATAGAAAAAGTTGATTACGCGGGGCCAAGTCGTCGTATGCAGCAACTCAATTCTCTTGCTTGTTTCCAGTCAGTCAGCTTTTCCCCAAACTTTGTCCAGTTACAAACCAGAATCTGGGG